GGGAAAGAGGAAAACCCATTGGAAAGGGTTTCCAGCTTACAAGATAACTAAACATTAAGTAAGGGTAAAGTCCAGCTGAGTTAGATGTCCCAATGACTTTTAAAAGAAATTGTAAAAGATTCTTCATCCATATAACTAAGAAAAGAGAACAAGAAAGAAGTAGAGCCTGTGTGCAGATAGCTTAACTGTTCTAAAACTTAAATGACTACTTTGCCTCATTTCACATTATTGATGATAATGTCAAGTATGAGAACAAATGCAGCATGACATGCAGTGAAGATATAAAAATGGAAAGAACAACAACTACAATGAAATTAAAACTCAAAAATCTTAATGAGTAGGGGACTGGATAAACTCCATTCCTGAATTCTAAAAGAATTGACAGATGCAAATCTGGTAGCAAGGATTTTTAACAAATTTATTAACTTGAGGCAGATACCATATAACAGGAGAATAGCAAATATAGTACCAATCGGTGTGTCCCCACAAGTGGGAAAGTGCATTTCCCGGGGACAACTAGCAGCAGTACATATTTGTGTAACTGCTAGTTGTCCCCAGGGATGCTGGGGCCAGCACCTGGACTGGCCCCAGCAGCCTTACCTGGGGCTCTGGAGGCTTTCCAACGCTCCAGCAGCAGCAATCTAGACACCAGAGTGTGGCTCTGTCTGGCCAGGCTCCGGTTTCAGATGGCATATACTTCTTGTTTCTGGCACAGGTTTTTTTGACACTGGGATTTCCCAATGTCAAAAAAACTCACCACACTGCAAATTAGCAGTGTAGCAAACACTTGCATGTGTGTTGCGTGCAGTTTGCAGCACTGCAGATGGTTCCGGAGCACCGCAAACCACATGTTCATACTCGTCTGGATGTGCCCAATTGGTACATTTACATGTTTGCTTTACTGACGAGTAAACTACTTAACTCCACAATAAAGCGTCACAGTCTACACGTGCACCAGTATTAGGGCACAGTAAGCTAATTAAATCTGTCAAGTACAGTGGAGTATTTAACTGCACTGAAACATACATGTAGCCAGTGACCAGGTGGGAGCTAGACTCCTGGCTGCTGCCTAACCACATAGCTCCACAGGTTCTGCACCCTTGTGCCCCACCAGCCCCTCCATAGCCTGACTCCACCACCTGGAACCCGGGGCTGACTCCCTCTTCCATCTGCTTGCTTGGGTATGTTCCATACTGGTTCCAATTGCTGCTGTCCCAGGTGCACGTGTAGACTCTATGATAGGTGACCTTGACAATTTGAGTAATAAATGCTAAGTATGAAGTAAGCTGTTGCTTATGAAAGCTTATAGACTAATTGATTCAGAAGTGTCTAAGCTGCAACTCTGCCCTGTTTTCTGTGTATAATAATGGTCATCCATATTCAAGAAACATAAACCCAAACTAGGATAGGTATTGAGTGAAGTTGGCTTGCTTCGCTGTGCAAAATTGAGGCTCTTGGAATATAAATACTGGGAGAGGTAAATACCAGTGTGGGAGAAGAGCTGTTTAAGAACAAATGTATATAAAAGGTTTTTAAATCAGTAGAAAATTGAGGCTCTGGAACCAAACCTCTAATAAGAGTAGTGACTGAAAATATCTTAAGCTGTTTTATGGTCTTGATCATTTTATGAAAATCAGTACATGATGGGGATTGTCAGTGATAGTAAGGTCCATTCCATTGCTATATTCTCATATTCTGTTAAGGGCAGAATTTAGAAATCTGCAGAATATTTTTTTGGAGAAAATAGGTTTCAATTAACTGTATATATCTCATTAATTTATACCTAATAATTAGATATGGGACAGTGCAAGAAAATTGTTGAGATATTTTTAAATGAGTAGGGTTCAGGTGTTAAATAGATTTGGTTCTAGGAATAACCTTTTTGATTAGATAAAGCTAGAATTTAGACATACAAGAAATTGTAGTTTATTGACATGTTGAAGCTCATTTGTTACAGTGCTGCATATTTGTAAAGAAGCGTGAATTTTTCTGTGTATTTATAACCCTCTTGCATGTATATTGCCACTACCTTACATTATCTTTTCATTCAGGTCATTTCACAGCTTCGGATCCTGAGCAGGTCAGTAACTGCTGGCTGCAAATTTGATAGAGAAATCTGGTCAAGTGAGCTTTCTCCTGTTCTCAATCTGTGGAAGAAACTTAATCAGGTAAGAAAACAGCTTATTTAAAAAGACATCTATCTAGCTATCTATATAGTTTTTTCAAATGCATAGTAGTCCTCAAAATATCAAGGTTAAATATGTTCTTTTGACTAAGGAAGTATTAAAACAAACATGTAAATGAAATATTCTGGAAACAGAACTATTGTGTAGCATACATATAGTTGAGCTAGTTGTATACTGCGTGGTCAGGATAATTGGTCTGTCCTGCCACTTTTTTTTTTTAACATTAACATGACTGTGGATAAGATCTCCTTGGTGATTTTTTTTTTTTTTTTTTTAAACCACCAATAACATTTGTAAGTTTTAGGCTCAATCTGTTTATTTTCTCTGGCCTCCAGATGAGATAAATTCATATTTTAAAGCACAGTAATTTCACATTCATATCCTCTACTTTTCTTGTCATTAAAAAAAGTACTGATTCTTTCTGTAACTTCCCTGCACTCTCATCTCTAGTGCATTATACATCATTATTAAAATGTATTAGAATGTCTAAAAGAGATGCTTATACAATGCTGACACTGATTTTACTCTTCAACATTGCTACCTATTAGTTATCCTTGATATTTCATGTAATTGAATTCGTTTCTCCAAATACTGTATTATCAGTCCAATATTCATCTTGATACTTGAATAAATGTATCCTAAATTTTTCAAACATACGTGCCTTTATTTTGATACCTAAGTAAAATTGTGAGCAATCGTAATTCCCAATGAAATAATGGTTAACTCCTCTGAACATCAGCCCTCTTTTATTTAGGTGTTTATGGCTTTAGGTACTAACATTCAGGCATGCAAAGGCCAGATATTCAGCTTCTGTGACTAGTCAGTATGCTAATTCACATACCACTTGAGGATCTTGTTGTGAAATATACATCTATCAGGATACTTCATAGGAGAGCAGGCATAGGTAAGGTGTTTGTCATGATAGTTGCATCTATTCTCTGAATCAGCAGAAAGACAGTAGAGTTTGAGTTCTGTTTTGATTTTTATTTTTGTGAGGAGACTTCAAGCCTGTTCCCATCTTGTAGATTTTTATCTTGTAGATTTGCAGTTTACATGCTTTCATTTGTGATAGAATAGTTATATTATTAAGTACTGCCTGTTTCAAAATATGAAGCATGTGAGTATGTACAAAAGTGTGCTTAATTAAGTGTGCATTTGAACACATCATTCTGAACACAACAGAGAGAGATTCTTATTTCATAGAATCATTGAACCATAAAAAATTAAGGCTGAAGGGACCTCAGGAAGTCGCATCTAATCCAACCCCCTGCTCAAGGCAGGACCACCCCCAACTAGATCACCCCAGCCACAGCTTTGTCTAGCCAGGTCTTAAAAATCTCCAAGGATAGAGCTTCCACCACCTCTCTGGGTAACCTGTTCCAGTGTTTTACTACCCTCCTAATGAGAAAATTCTTCCTAGTATTTAACCTAAACTTCCGTTGCTGCAACTTGAGACTGTTGCTTCTTGTCCTGTCATCTGCCACCACCCTCTCAGGCTGTGTAGACAAAATGAGGGGCATGTGTGCATAACACTTTAAAGTGGGCTAAATGCTTATGCACAGCTTTAATAGTGTTGGTGTTTGCACGCCTCGGCAGTGTATTACACATGAATTCCAGCTGCTGTAGAAAATTTGGCAGCGTAATGTACCTTAAATGACTTGAGGCTTAGCAAACTAAAGCTCCTCTGAGGAGCTCCTCGCAGCCCGGGGACCACTCCACCCACCGGCAGCTTGCCCTCCCCTCCCTGCCACCGGAGAGGCAGGTAAATCAGGGGTGTGTGAACAATAGAGGGGTTTAATTGGCCATAAATTGAAGCGGTGTTTTTTAAAACCCACTGCTTCTCCCTTTTGACCCTAACCCAGAGATTTTTAACAGGCCTATCTCTGATTTCATACTGAAGCTCTGAGCAATCCTGTGGCTCTTTTACATAAAATGTTACTCCTCCTCCTCCTCTTCCTTGCCTGTCCTGAACAGTTTGTACTTATCCATGACAGTGCTCCAGTCATGTGAGCTATCCCACCAAGTCTCTGTTATCCCAATCAGATCATAGTTCCCTGACTGTGCAAGGACTTCCAGTTCTTCCTGCTGGTTTTCCAGGCTCCATGCATTCATGTACAGGCACCTGAGGTAACTAGTCAATTGCCCTGATTTCTCAAGAAGTATGAGAGCACCTCCTGTATTGCCCTCTCCTTCTTGTTCTTCCTCCAGGTCTCCCATTTTCCCACTTACCTCAGGGCTTTGGTATCCATCCCCCAGTGAACCTAGTATAAAGCCCTGCTCAGTGGGTTAGTGAGCCTGTCTGCAAAGACATTTGAGACATTCTTTCATGGTATTTACATTTGCTAACCATCACAATTTAAATATTAGAGCATATAGTCATTTGTTGGGATTATGGATGAAGTTCTCCTGTAATTTTGCCATGCACCTCTATCATCCAATTAAAGCAATACCAGTATAAAAATGGTATAAATTAGGAGAATAAGGCTGAAGAGACCAAAGCCTATGTTAATACTGCCTTTCTCACATCTTTTGTTTTATGAAGTGTGAGAAGTTTCTGGGAGTAACCGAAGCTGCCTAAATCCTAAATACAAATTAAGTATAGTTAGATAATCACAGCAACATTCTCTGGTTGCGTATGCCTCCCTATGAACAATAGTTTGAACCTGGAAACAGATATTTCTAAATTAGTTTATGATTCAGTTATACTTAATTTTCATCTTAAAGTAAACTGTATAATTAGTCATGGCAGATATTTTTAGTTTAAAATCAACATTACTAGCTCTGAATATAGTAATAATTTCAGATTAGAGTTCTTGGTGAGAAGGCAGAGTCAAGTTTGGTTTATAAATGCCATAGTGTTTTGGTATTCTTTGTTGTTTTTGAAAACAGTAACTTCTGAATCTATAAATTTATATTTTTCATTATATTTCAGGGTAAAAAAGGCCCATAGATTTCACAAGAACTTGAAAAAACTAATACAGTTTTACTACTAATTAGGTTCTGGTTAGAAACTCTTTTGACCACGGAACTCTAAAAGTGTTGCCAGTGTGTAAAAATTTATGAGAAATCTAGGGCTTACATAGTCAGACATTTGTGGCTCTTTACTAAATTCTTTACTTTATTTCCATATAATTCTGAGATTAGTGTTTATCTCAGTGTTCAGGCCTGATCCTGGTCAATTCTTATTCTTGCAAGTAGTCCTTTTGTGAGTTGTGCCATTGATACATATTGGAGTCCTGATCCTAGCTAGGATTACTGATTTAAATTAATACTTTCACATTCCGGCCTACACAAAGGCAAAATTCATTAATGCATCTTTTAAGAATTTTTAAAGAGGCAATTGAAAGTAAATTCCACTCATCCAACCTTTAGGGCCAGAGACAGACATTCAGAAAGCCAGAGCCTGAATTGATTCAGTCTTTGCAGGTTTGTCTAACCTGCCTTGATTCAACCAATGTGCAACTGCACATGCCTGCAGCTGCTCAGGCCAGGAGCTGGGAGGGATGATAGAGTGCACCCTCAACTTCAGAGAAGCTGTTTGGGGGTGGGGGGCAGGGGAGGGGGTAGCAAGCCCCAGCAGTAGCCAGGAGTAAACTGGCTAGGGAGGGGGTTTAAATCCTCCTTCCCTGTCCCACTGGCATGGACCTGAGCCAGCATCCACCTGGCGCTCCTCCCTCGCTGCTGCAGTGGCAGGGGCATGGCCAGATGCTGGCTGGCATGGCCCCCTGAGGTAGAAGGGCCAAGGAGGGGGTTTATTCCTTAAACCCTCTCCCTGGCTAGTTCACTCCAGGCTACTGCCAGAGCTGGCCATGTCCCTGCTGCTGAAGCAGCCAGCAGAGAAACGCAGGTCCGTGGTGATGGGACAGGGGGAGGCAGGGAGAAATAAACCTCTTTCCTGCCCCCTTCCTGAGCCAGCCCCTGCCCCTGCCTGTCCCTGCTCTGGGGAGGGAGCAGAGGTCCGGGGCCAGCCCTGCTTTGCTGGAGCAGAGAGCACAGCCCAGAGAGCATGCCGGGACACTGTCCCCAGCCTAGAAGATTTTGAATATTCATAACATTAGGAGGAGCCCTCAGTAAAAGGATATGCTTAATGAAACATCCTAAAGAAGTAGCAGAGGACAAGACAGTAAATGATTTCACCAACCATTTAGGCAGTATGTGAGGCTATTTACTTTGCAATGTTCATTACTAATCTGCTAAATTCACTTTTTTACTTTTGTCTGGTTAGCAATTGAATAATATATCTAGAGGTCTACTTAATTTGTGGTTTCACTTCTTTTGTGGAAACTCTGAGAAATGGCAGTGTCTGCAATCACCAGGAAATCATGCATTGGCCGTGATTTGCCATGAAAACAACTTACAAGTCCCCCCAGCATGTTATTCATATAATATGCTGTTTTTAGAATGCCCATGCTTTTAGAGTTACTGTCTGCTAGTAGCATAGACCAAGTGAAGGGGCCAGTCAGTGAAGTGAAAATGTTTCAGCACCAATCAGCAGCGAGAGGCAAGGTCACCAGCAAATGCCCATGAAATCAGCTTTTTATGCCATGACCAAGCCACAAGAACTGCTTCGTCTGTCCGCAAATTAAGTAGGCCCCTAATTATATCTAGCAGAACAAAATTAAAGAATATTCGCCAGATAAGCTATGGTCTTCTAGCATCCAGAGTACTTAAAAAAAACTATTGCTTCATCTTAGCACTCATATGTTCAGTGAATATCCATCATTTAAAAAATGATAGGTCTTCTGGTAATGTTTCAGTTTTAAAACACTTTTATCAGTATTCTTCTGATAATGTACTTGCTATGTAATTGAATTTGTATTCTGGAATGTACTGTTGTGTTTAACTAGATGATATTTCTCCAAAGACCTCTGTTCTTCTGCCTAATTAATATTAGCCTTTGTGTTAATTACATCTTCAAGATAAGTGCTAGGAAAGCAGTTCCATACCCTTGTATTCTTTGTTAAAAGCAGCAGTGGGACAAA